AAACAGAATCTCTAAAATGATTCAATATCAATCAAAAATCTATTTTCATCACTAAAATTGCTCTTAAATCTCCCAAAAACCAAGATCATACTCTTTTCTTTAAAAAAAATCCAGTTTCATTTCCTTCACTTATTACAGATATCAGAAACAATATCATTGAACAAATGAAGTGCTTCAAATGCTTGGGATTACTGATTGATTCAAAACTTACGACTCCACATTGATTGCATCTCAAAGAAAATCTAATCAAATTTTTTTTTATACAGAAACTAACACTGTTTTCAGATTTGATTACACCTGCAAATTATTGAAACTATCATTCTACCACTTTTTGAGTATTGTGAAGCTGCTTACAGCACTGGATATACCATACCAGACCCAGAATTTTGACATCCACTAAAAATCACGTAATTTGATGCTAGAATAAATCTACATAAGGCCCTTTTTGTCCATAACATCCTGATTGGCAAATCTTCCCTATTTTTATCTAATACATTCACCCTATTGTCAATCCCATTTAACCCAAGACATCCATCTATTTGGCTTTTGACTATCCTAAGAACAAGAACTGGAAAAGGTGACAAAGCCTTTGCCATTGCAAACAAGACAAACGTTTTGGAACGACCTTGTTTCCTCAATAAACATCGTAAATCTTCCTTAAAAATATTCTGGAGCAGAAGATTAGTGCGGGATACAGCCTCAGTTTAAAATTCGATGCATAACTTTTACCTTACCCGTGTATCCATAGTTAAATTATTACGTGCACTGTAATTGAAGGTGTCGTCTGGCACGTTGCTGTCTTTGTATGATCTGGGACTGTTGTTGTTTTGCTGGCTTGCCCCAAGTTTGCATTTGGTGTTAACAAATTAGCAGGAATGTTTGTAGTTATGCACTTTGTACTTCTATACTTTCTTTTATTGACTTATTTTGTGACTTGGTGACATTTTCTCGATTATGCAGTCGTATTGTCTTTTGTATTGCTTGTTGGCATATTTCGTTGTACAGCCCCCACTGGACATCTGTGAAAAAGGGCTTCATAGCTCATCGGATTCCTCTTCAAGTATTCAGAAAGATTTGGATTCTGAAATGTTAAGCGACCAGCAACAAATGGCACTGTTAAAGTTAAAATGGATGAGAGTGTAACGCGTCTCTTGAACTGAGCAGGGTTATTATTGTACGAGCTTGGGGGAAAGAGACGATGATGGGATTGGATTCCAGAGTGGAGGGCCGAAGCAGAGAGACCTGTGGTGTGGTGAGTGGCTTACTTACCAAGTGGCTTCGCGATTGGGTGAACATGTCTTTGTCCACCTAGCCTGGCACAAGCACCGTCATTACGTCACCGCCACTTATGGTCACAGTCGCTGTGGTGGCAATTTACTTTGCTCAGTCGGTGTTAGCCGCTGAGGTCATGACGGGTTTCTTTATTCATTCCTGTTGCTCCATGCCCCGATACCATTCCCTTTCCGTTGTAATGTGCACTGATGCCTAGTTTATCGAGGGCGATATTGGCACATAAATTAAAGATTGATTGAGTTGTTGTGACCTACAGTGCAGTGGTTGGATACAGTGTGGGTTAGACAAAACAGCCGGTCTGGATGTTATGCATGGATTGTGCGTACGTTAGAATTATCTTTGATAATAATAATAAAAATAAACTTTGATGATCTTGTACGGTTTGTATTTGCGTAATATTCATAACCACCACTAACAACAACAATAACCGGCCAGGTGTGGTAGAGCTTGGAGGGGTTGACTCAACCCATAATCACTCCCTTCGCGGTCTGTAAATGAGCATCACTTTGTCAACGGTGGTTCTTGCCCTATGGATAGACTCACTCCCGTCATAGAAACGTGGAATTTTTGCCACTGGCTCAGGGCTGTAAAGAGGAGATGATCACGGCCGCAATGCTTATTTGAGGATATAATCGTTTAGCTTTTCTATACGGCGAGAGGGTGCAACCACCACAACCACCACCTTCACAGCAACCACCACTAAAACGATCGCAACCACCACCACTCCCCACCTACCCCCCACAGGCACACCCCTGTTGACAAGGTCCACTGATCGTCACCTTTGACCACCCTAGCCGAACAGTAGCAGCAGCACAGCTACACAGTGCCTACAGTAGCAGCAGCACAGCTACACAGTGCCTACAGCAGCAGCACAGCTACACAGTGCCTACAGCAGCAGCAGCACAGCTACACAGTGCCTACAGTAGCAGCAGCACAGCTACACAGTGCCTACAGTAGCAGCAGCACAGCTACACTGACACACACAGGAGCCTTTGCCTCCATGTGGGTGATGTTTACATATCGCTCCAGGTACTCATTTGAGGCCGAGTCGCTCTTGAGGAGGCCCAGGACCGGTTCAGGTAATTGCCACTGGTGTGGACAGAGAGCGGGAATCGAACTCAGACCACTGGGTCTGTAGCGCAGCATGCTAACCATGGCACTACCGCTCCACTTACAAAGACATGTACAGTGAGGGAAAAAAAGTATTTGATCCCCTGCTGATTTTGTACGTTTGCCCACTGACAAAGAAATGATCAGTCTATAATTTAATGGTACGTTTGTTTGAACAGTGAGAGACAGAATAACAACAAAAAAATCCAGAAAAACGCATGTCAAAAATGTTATAAATTGATTTGCATTTTAATGAGGGAAATACGTATTTGACCCCCTCTCAATCAGAAATATTTCTGGCTCCCAGGTGTCTTTTATACAGGCAACAAGCTGAAATTAGGAGCACACTCTTAAAGGGAGTGCTCCTAATCTCAGCTTATTACGTGTTTAAAAGACACCTGTCCACAGAAGCAATCAATCAATCAGATTCCAAACTCTCCACCATGGCCAAGACCAAAGAGCTCTCCAAGGATGTCAGGGACAAGATTGTAGACATACACAAGGCTGGAATGGGCTACAAGACCATTGCCAAGCAGCTTGGTGAGAAGGTGACAACAGTTGGTGCGATTATTCGCAAATGGATGAAACACAAAATAACTGTCAATTTCCTTCGGCCTGGGGCTCCATGCAAGATCTCACCTCGTGGAGTTGCAATGATCATGAAAACGGTGAGGAATCCGCCCAGAACTACACGGGAGGATCTTGCAAATGATCTCAAGGCAGCTGGGACCATAGTCACCAAGAAAACAATTGGTAACACACGACGCCGTGAAGTACTGAAATCCCGCAGCGCCCACAAGGTCCCCCTACTCAAGAAAGCACATATATATGCCCGTCTGAAGTTTGTCAATGAACATCTGAATGATTCAGAGGACAACTGGGTGAAAGTGTTGTGGTCAGATGAGACCAAAATGGAGTTCTTTGGCATCAACTAAACCCGCCGTGTTTGGAGGAGGAGGAATGCTGCCTATGACCCCAAGAGCACCATCCCCACCGTCAAACATGGAGGTGGAAACATTATGCTTTGGGGGTGTTTTTTTCTGCTAAGGGGACAGGACAATTTCACCGCATCAAAGGGACGATGGACGGGGCCATGTACCATCAAATCTTGGGTGAGAACCTCTTTCCTTCAGCCAGGGCATTGAAAATGGGTCGTGGATGGGTGTTCCAGCATTACAATGACCCAAAACACACGGCCAACGGCAACAAAGGAGTGGCTCAAGAAGAAGCACATTAAGGTCCTGGAGTGGCCTAGCCAGTCTCCAGACCTTAATCCCATAGAAAATCTGTGGAGGGAGCTGAAGGTTCGAGTTGCCAAACGTCAGCCTCGAAACCTCAATGACAAAATCCCTCCTGAGATGTGTGCAAACCTGGTGGCCAACTACAAGAAACGTCTGACCTCTGTGATTGAAAACAAGGGTTTGCCACCAAGTACTAAGTCATGTTTTGCAGAGGGGTCAAATACTTATTTCCTTTATTAAAATGCAAATCAATTTATAACATTTTTGACATGCGTTTTTCTGGATTTTTTTGTTGTTATTCTCTCTCACTGTTCAAATAAACCTACCATTAAAATTATAGACTGATCATTTCTTTGTCAGTGGGCAAACGTACAAAATCAGCTGGGGATCAAATACTTTTTTCCCTCACTGTATACACGAACAGAGACAGATCTTTCCACACAGCAAAAGATATCACACAAGGACAGATAAACACACACAGGGGCACACGCACAAGGACGGCTACACACAGTGGTAACTGTACAGTGACACACAGTGACAGATACACACAGTGACAGATACACACAGTGACATACACACAGTGACATACACACAGTTACAGATACACACAGTGACAGATACACACAGTGACAGATACACACAGTGACAGATACACAGTGACAGATGCACACAGTGACATACACACAGTGACAGATGCACACAGTGACAGATACACACAGTGACAGATACACACAGTGACAGATAAACACAGTGACAGATACACGCAGTGACAGATACACGCAGTGACAGATGCACACAGTGACAGATACACACAGTGACAGATACACACAGTGACAGATACACACAGTGACAGATACACACAGTGACAGATACACACAGTGAGAGATGCACACAGTGACAGATACACACAGTGACATACACACATACACACACAGTGACATACAGTGACATATATAGACAGTGACAAGATACACACAGTGACAGATACACACAGTGACAGATACACAGTGAAAGATACAAGGTGACATACACACAGTGAGAGGCACACACAGCTGTACAGTACTGATACACTGTACTCACTGTCTGAACCCACGTGGGAGACGTCGCGCACGTGGCCCCTTCGCTCCGTGACCCCTCCGCTCCGTGACCCCTGGCAATCCGATCCCACGTGACCCCTCCTGACCAACCTCGACCCCCCTCCCCTTACACATAAGTTATCTCCCAGAACCTTTTATATTTACAAACACGGTTGCGCTATCAGCCAATAGCGTGTCCGCCTCGCAACAGCACGTGAACACGCTCCGCCAATCAACACCACGCTAGGGGGAGCTCGCCTGTTTATCTGAACTTGGAATTGTAAGAAGGCTCCGCGGCTCCCAAGGCGACCCAAGGTGAACTCCGAGTTGTCCCCAGAGACGCATGGACTCGCAGTTACCCCGGCTCCCTTTACTTCCCCCGAGTATTCATAACCTCCGAGTTCCCCGAATTCCCTGCAGAGTTACCCCGGACTCGGGGTGACTCGGGGTAACTCGGGGTAACTCGAGTCATCAGCAACATCTCTTTGTCGATGACTCGGGGTAACTCGGGGTAACTCTTGAGTTGATAGCCGGAGTTAGCGAGTTCGCCGAGTGAGTGCCTCACACCTTGACGCAGTCCACGGGGTACATCACGCAGTGCTCCATCACCCCGGCCAGCGCGCCCGCCACCATGTGCGTGCCCATAGACACGCTCGGCGGCAGCGCCTCGTACTCGATCTCGCCATCCGCGGCGGCGACGGCGGCGGAGTTCTTTTCTTCCTCCATCGTTCCTTGGCCGTCGTCCTCTGCCCGCCTCCCTTCCTCCCCCCGGTGCCGCTGTCCCTCCGCGCGGCGCTCACTCGGGATGCGCGCGCGTCTCCTGCGCGCGGCGCCGACTTCCACTCGCCCCGCCTCCTCTGGGGCTCAGGCCACGCCTACCGCCCTGGCCACGCCCGCTTTAGCTCACGTCCGAACTTTAAACCCCCCGCCAACTTGGCTTTGCACAACCAATGTTTGGTATCGATTTAAAGCTTTCGTGACTGCAAGGATTCATCTTCTTTGGTTCTTTCGGTAAAGTCACGTAGAATGATAATAAAATAATAAATTGATAAAATAATTGTGTTCTTTTATTTTATCAATTTATTATTTTAAAAATAATAATTGTGTTATTTTATTTTATCAATTTATTATTTTATTCTCATTCTACGTGACTTTACCGAAAGAACCAAAGAAGACAATGTTTGGTAATACGACTGTGGTGTATTTCATTGAAAGAATCCCCCCTAGTGGTCACGTTTACTTAGTTTCGCCCACTTGAGAGTGGTCACCCACGCTTAGCTCCTTTCAATCTTCGATTTCAGAATGACCCACCCCGTCATGGGCACGTCCAGAATGGGACGAGGTCGAGGCTGAAAACGGACTAGCAGCTACGTCAAGGAACGATACTGAGGGTACGTTCACGCAGAGATGGAGCGATTGAATCAGCTCGTGTGCAGGAGCCGAGCGGATCGTTGTATCGCAAATTCGTGAGAGATGGCGACAGCTTGAGTGGGCCTTCATCCGGCAGTGGATTGATCATAGCGTTTGCCGATATAAAACAATCGATTCGTGAATAAAGTCAAAAACCCGACAGTAATGGTTGCAGACACTACACCTAAATCACTCAGAATCTTTTACATTATGAGACCTCCTTTGCCAGTAACAAGATGTAGTAATAGGTTTTACCCTTTTAACTGGCACAAAAACTGACACCTTTATTCAAGGCATCATGTTTGCAATAACCACAACACAAGCAGTCAAAATGCAAACAAAAGAGACAACTCTGATAACACGACTTTTGGCGTCTTCTGGTCCAACACCAGTGGAGACTAGACTCTAAGAAAAGCTGTCTCGGGTGTGGACCAATCAAATTCAAGGGCAGTGCAGATTATTATCATATATAAATAAACACTGTTTTCATGTTCTATTACGCCTGCAAATTGTTGAAGCAACCATTCTACAACTGTTTGACTACGGTGATGCTGCTTCCAGATCAGCTACCAACGAATCACTAAACCCGCTTTATCATTCTGCACTATTGTGACCTCTACTTAAAATGCAATCTCACATCAAGAAGAAATCGGCATTGGGCCCTGTTCATCCATAAAATTATCTTGACAAATCTTCCCTATACTTAGCTCACTGATTAACCACATTGTCAAATCCAAGAAACCTAAGGCGTACAACTAATTTCCTTTTAAATATCCATAGAACAAGATTTGGAATAGGTGGCGACGCATTTTCCTTTGCAGCACCAAGTTTTGAAACAACTTGTTTCCTCCCTTAACATCGTAAATCTTTTTTTGATTTAAAGCTTTCGTGACTGCAGTAATTCATATTCTTAGTTTTTTCGGTAAAGTCACGTTGAAGAGAAACAACAAAATAACAAAATATATAAAACAATAAAAAAATTCTCACGACGTTTCGACCGTTTGAGTTATGGTCGAAACGTCGTGAGAATTTTTTATTGTTTTATATATTTTGTTATTTTGTTGTTTCTCTTCAACGTGACTTTACCGAAAAAACTAAGAATATCGTAAATCTTCCTTCAAAAATATTCTGAAGCAGATTAGTGCCAGATGCAGCCACATTTTTTAATGTGATTTGTAATTTTGACCTTACCCGTGTATCGATAGTTCAATTTTAATGCGCAATGTAATCGAGGGACTATGTGTTGTCTTGGTGTGGTCTGTGACTGTTGTTGTTGAATTGGTGTGGTCTGGGACTGTTGTTTTCTGCCTTGCCCAAGTTTGCATTCTGTGTTAACAACTCGGCCGGCATGTATGTGGTTTTGCATGCAGGAGAACACTTGTCTAGGTAGTGTTCACCACGTCACCCGGGTGGTGTTCACCTGCGTGACCACGTCACGCGGGTGGTTGCTGACCTGCGTGACCACGTCACGCGTGCAGCCCAAGGGGCGGGGCGAGTGCGACGTGGCCGTGCGCTCACTTCCTGGTGCGTGGCGAGAGCTACGTGGCTCTCGTGCAATGCGACCAATTGCTCATCCCAGGTGCCATAAATGCTAAATGCTTTCAAGCTATCAATTCTGGCTCAGTGATTCTGCATGCTCTATTACTATAGTACTATACTGCCTTCAACTTTTATTAACGACTGGGTGTTTAAGGTTAGCGATTTGTCGTATTATCTGGCTGTATAGCAAATGAAAAAATACAATTACTTTACTATGCAAGTACAAATTTTGTGTTTTAATTTTTAGGTGTGTGTTTTATTTATGGCCCCTTTATAACATCATGCTACAGGCCCTGCACTAGCATAATCCGGCACTGACACTGACCTGGGTCACCGAAATGAAAAACGCAAAATAATAAAAACCAAGGACTGTACAACAATGTAGCAAATGGAAATTGAAGTAAAAACAACCGCGTGACAGAAACCGACATTAATACTAAAGTACAATTCCAGCAACAAATTGGCAATGTAAAATTACTTTTTTTTTTAGCATGGTAACATTAAGTTCGAGAAATATCAAAATTTATTTTGAGTGATTATTGCACTGTTATGTAAACAACATTTTAAAGGATGTATGTCAAACTATTTCTACTGCAGTGATCACCGATGGTGCCCTGCTGGTGGTATCATGAGGCTAGGCCACAAGTTAGGAAACCACTATAACAAAGTATTTTTTTTATAAAAAAAAAATAAAGAGCCACAATGCGTTTGAATACGAAACGGCGGTCCTTCATAAATAACGCCACGAAGCAGTCCTTCAAGCGCCGCATGCGGCTCCAGAGCTGCGGTTTGCCGACCCCTGGCTGGGGTGACCGAATAGCACGAGATGGGACCGAAGGTGAAGGAGGGTGTCCTGGGGGAGCGGTGTGAAGCAGAATGATGGGGTGGAGGGGACAGGGAGGGATACGCGGCGGAGGAGTTTGGCGCGACCGACGGGGAAAGGGGAGTAAGAGCACGAGGTGAGCGGGAGATTTGAACCGCCCGGTGAGTGCGGGAGGACTCGTGAGATGGACGCAGTGGAGGAGCGGGGTGGCACGCAGCGCGGGGACAAGACAGAGGTGGAGGAGCGCGCGATTTATTTCCTCAATCTCGTGTTGGTGCGGCGAGAAGGCAGCCGCCCTACTGGGATGGAGAGGTGTTCGAGGCGTCCCCGGTCGTTGCGGTGGGGATTACATCAGGCAAAGTGCGAGACGACATGTGGTGGGGTTTGATCTGGTCAGCAGGGCCGTGTTGAGGCGGGTTTATACACGAGCACCTTGTCCTGTTTTCTTCAAAATGATTGATTTATGGAACTGTTATCTGCTTGCGGGGCTCCAACAAGGCCACACTACTAAAGCGTACAAAATACAAGGCAACCATTAGCGTCAACAGTGGACATTGTCATTAATAAATAATCGGACAACATGCCACCTCCTTTACACATCTGCCTCTCCACGTAAAAAAATGCAACGTATTCTTTTACACATCCTAATGCAGCATTGCATTGATACAAACAAAAATCCCACCCGGTTTCTGCTGATGAGACACTGGATGTCAAAACCAGTCCAGCATTTGCTAGTATTAAACCAATACAGTACTACTGAAAATGTTGTTTACTCCCAGAAGGCCAACCGATAGAGGCAAAATAAGCAGATCATTATCTGTGTAACTTTTTTTTCCTGGGTAGTAAGTGTTATTTACTAATTGCTTATGCCTCAAAAGTACAGAAAATAGCTATTATTCCCCACAAACTTTGCTTATGTGTCCAGGACAGTGATATTTTGAAATTTACCTATTTTCCAGAACATTCCAGATAGATTCAGTGCTGAGTAGACTTGGAGTAACTTCTAGAACATTCCAGAACTTTCCAGTAATATAAATAGTATAAATACAGGGGCCTTTAAGCCCACCAGTTCAGTTTAGTTCCAGCTGCCTAAGTGGATACATATCTGCATTTCTCTGAGATGGCATCAAGAAGCTGCAAGCATCTGGCAGACGCATTTTGCTATGTCTGGCCAATTTATCAAGACAAGAGTGAATAAGTACTCTGTGGAAGCATCTGCGAAGATGTGTGAAGCCTCCAGGGCATATTTCGGCATGCCTATTAGGGATCAAGACAAACCTTGGGCACCTAATTTCACCTGCGAGCAATGCAAAACAACTCTGGAAGGTATGATGGAAAATTTGTTAAAAATTGTAAAGTTTTTAATTTTGAAATTTTTACAATTTTCATTGTTATTGAAAAAATATATATCATATATGAAAAATGTTGCGAAAATCGCTTACACATTAGTCATGGGTGAAATAAATGTATTTTTGTAGGATGGTACAGAAGGGAAAAGAGCCATGAAGTTCGCTATCCAAAGAATTTGGCGGGAACCCACTGACCACTCAAGCAACTGCTACTTCTGCATGGTGGACCCTTCCAAACGTCGGGCTGGCAAGAATGCACCTGCTATCACGTATCCGGACCTTCCTTCATCCATCGCCATGAGCTCCCCGTACCCACTCCTCCGGAGAGAGAGCCGCCATCTTTAGAAGAGAGCAGCAAGTCAGAGAGCGAGGAAGACGTTGTCGATCCAGATGACAATTTCAGAGGTGGAGCTAGGAGAGAAACCCATACTACCAAAACCAAAAAGACCTCAACGGCTTGATCAGAGATCTTGGTCTCACCAAGTCCAATGCCGAGCTTTTGACGTTTAGGCTCAAGCAGTGGAACTTGTTGGATGAAAGTGTGCAAGTTGCAGATCAGAGGAAGCGTCACCAACCTTTTTGTAGCTTCTTCACCCATCAAGTTGGGCTCTGCTTCTGCAAGGTGGTTTTAACAAGTTTCCCTGCTCTCTTTGCCTTTGGGACAGCAGGGACACCAAGGCGCATGACCACAGTGCGGGACTGGCCACAGCGGACCGAGTTCTCCGTGGGGATGAACAACGTCAAGTGGGAGCCACTGGTGGACCCCTGGAAGGTGCTGATGCCAGCACTGCACATCAATTGGGCCTTGTGAAACATTTGTCAGAGCTGTAGCTAAGGAGTCGGCAGCCTTCAAGTACCTTCAAGACTTCTTCCCGAAGCTGTCTGAGGCAAAGGTCAAAGCCGGTGTCTTCATCAGACCACAGATGAAGAAGATCCTGGAGTGCAATGAATTCCCCAAGAAGATCACTAGTAAGAAGAAAGCGGCTTGGGGCAGCTTTGTCGCAGTGGTTCGTGGCTTCCTAGGCAATCACAAGGTCGAAAACTACGTGGAGCTGGTTGAGACTGGTGAAGAACTACGGCACAATGGGCTGTAGGATGTCCCTCAAAGTCCATTTTCTTGATGCTCATCTTGATCAATTCAAGGAGAACATGGGAGCGTACTCGGAGGAGCAAGGCGTGTGCTTCCATCCAGGATATACTGGACTTTGAACGCCGCTACCAAGGACAGTATAACGAGAATATGATGGGGGCTGATTTGTGAAAGTGATTTACAGTATAATCGTAAATCTCGAAAAACTACTTACTTCTAAATCTTTTGTAGTCATTTTTTTATTCATATGTTGTTTTTTCTGACTTTATGTGAACGAAAAGGCACAAATTCGCCAGTTTTCCCATTGCAAATAGATCAATTTCCAAATATCACTGTCCTGGTCACAAAAGCAAAGTTTATGGGGAATAATAGCCATTTTCTATACTTTTTAGGCATAAGCAATTACAAAATAACACTTACGACCCAGGAACACAAATTGTGTTACGTAGTGTATAATTAGCCTCCTTTGCATATCCATCTTTCCACTTAAAATAAAAATACAACTCTTTTATCACACATATCGGCCACACGGCCTTCTGAGAATACATGTTATTCGCAGCATTGGTTCAACACAAGCAAAGCTCTGGACCTGTTCCGACATACGGTGCCTCAATGGCAGAGTACGGCTTTGCTTCACACTGCTCCAGAGGTTTATTGTATTGAACGCGAACTGCCGCAAGGCCGGGCTCGGCAGACAGCGCGCCTTGGCTGCTGCTCGGGTTTCTCAAACACCATCGCAGGCCGCGAACGGAGGGCCATGCGCGCACGTGGGGTGGCGCGCGCGTTCCAGAGCCGCCTCGCACGGGGCCCCCCGGGAGTCGAGGCGAGACTCGCCGATGGAGAGGTCGGGAGCGGTGGCGTCAGTGGAATTTACGTCGTGACGAAACGCTGTCAAAATATGACAGGGATGCGAATTAAACAGGCAAACCAGACGCCTCCGTCTCTCCACCTCTGGACCTCCATGTCAAATATAGACGAGCATGTTTTTTTACACATCTCATCAGCCACACGGCTTTTATTCTGCGAGTGCATCTTATCAGCAGTATTGGTTCGAAACTCCAGACCGGTCTCGACATTCAGTATCTCATCAGCAGAGTCAGGCTTGTCTGAAGTAATGCTGGTGAACTTACAGATGTTATCTTTGGTTCTTTCGGTAAAGTCACGTAGACATAGAAAATAATAATTCTATAATATCATACGACGTTTCGACTGCAACGCAAGCAATCATCATCAGGTATAAATGAAAAAGAAACAAACCTAGCAAACTTAGAAATATAATGCAATAAGCTCAGATAGTCGGCTAACATAACAGTCAACACCCTACCTGGTTGATTACACTCTTCTAAAGATTGCTAAATTAAAGAGAGATATATTATATAGTTATTATTTTCTATTTCTACGTGACTTTACCGAAAGAACCAAAGATTATTTCTTGCAGTCACGGAAGCACCAAACAAAGTTTGAACCACCTCTACGGGGAGGTTTTAAGTTTGTTTCCTCTCTCTGCGTCTGGTTGTTTTGTCTCTCTCTACTTGTGTCTGTCTTTGTGTCTCCGTGTCTGTGTCTTGTCTCTCTCTCAAATTTCACACTTAACTTCTAGTTTGAGCAATCTTTGGAATAGCGTAATCAACCAGACCATGTGTTGATTGTGTTTTGACCGACTTTCTGTGTTGCATTGCATTTCAAAATTTTGCTGAATTTTGCTTTTCCTTTTCTTTTTTCTGTCTCCCCAGGATTTGTTCTTCCAGCAGTGGCACCAGATCTCTCATTGACATGCTCATTTATCTACCCCCCCCCTCTCTCTCCCCCCTCTCTACCTATTTAAGGCCACGACACAGAGGCGTTGTTTCTCTGTGTCTCTCTCTGTGTCTGTGTTAACTCTCTCTGCTATGTGTCTATATATGTGTCTTCGGTTCTGTGTTTTATCTCTCTCTTAAATTTAGCAATCTTTAGAAGAGTGTAATCAACCAGGTAAGATGTTGACTGTTATGTTAGCCGACTATCTGAGCTTATGGCATTATATTTCTAAGTTTGCTAGGTTTGTTTCTCTTTCATTTATACCTGATGATGATTGCTTGCGTTGCAGTCGAAACGTCGTATTATATTATATAATTATTATTTTCTATTTCTACGTGACTTTACCGAAAGAACCAAAGATTATTTCTTGCAGTCACGAAAGCACCAAATCAAGTTTCCAGATGTTCATTGGCACGGACCCTCTCTGCGAGATATTGGTCGAGTTTGACGAGAAACTCGATACAACACACAACACAGAATCATCAGTCGCGTGATTGTCGAGAATGAGCAACAAGATTGAAGCAGACAATTCGACTCCTTGCCATATTGAACCAACTCTGCTAACATTCTGCTCTCCCAGAACGATGGGAAGTGTAACATATGAACAACATAACACAGCACACAATAAACACCCTGATTCCCTTATCTGTCCCTCTGTTGTGTTTAGAGTTGCCGGGTTGGTGGCTCGCGGAGGGATGGAGGAATTGTGCAAGGACGTGAACTGGATGTGTCGGCGATTTGTGCCCCCAGATCTCCTCTCTCTCGTGATGAAGAAACCGAGATGCAGAGTGGTGCCACAATTGGGCAAGGTGGCGATGCCTTATCCGCGATAAGCAGAGCAGAGAGCAGTTTGAAAACGAATTTCCTAGATTGAAAACTCATTTTTTTTAAATTTCTTTTTGTGTTTAGTTTGTTGTCGTTGGCTACGTACGGTGCGAAAGAAGTTCAACATACATACACCAGCGGCACGTGGTTCTTTCTTGACCGCCAAAGAGACACGAGCGAGAGGGTGACAGAGACATTGGCGAGAGAGACAGAGACACAGGAATGAGAGAGTCAGTGAAGTGACACACAGACACACGGACATGGAGACACAGAGCCACTTGAACAGAGAGATGGAGAGACGGGACACGCAGACGTGGAGAGAGACGGATAGAGACAGACACAGAGAAGACGCAATGCAGGACACAGAAACACAAACACCGTACACGGATAAAACAATCACTCTTTTTTAGGGGGCTCTCCATAAGTGTGTGTGTGGGGGGGGGGGGTACAGGTTTAGGGGCCGTCCATAAATGATGTCACGCGATTTTGGACGATTTTTGACCCCCCCCCGTCATCACGGCGTCACAAAAAGTCAGACCCCCCTCAAATATGACGTCACAAAGCTCTGCCCCCCCCCCCCCCCCAAAATAAAACATGCTTCAAATCGCTTTAAACTATTGTCATTGTAGTGCGTGTTTAATGTGGCGCTGCACTCTGATGTTGTAGGAGAAAACATTTATTAAAAAGTCTATTTAATGAAGTAGAACGTCTACATCATTAGACCTCCTTTGCCAGTACCAAAATATAATAGGGTTTTCCCCCTTTTTTCTGGCAACAAAACTGAAACCTTTTTACAAGGATGCATGTCTGCATTAAACCTTTTTACAGACATGAATCCTTGTAAAAAGGTTTCAGTTTTGTTGCCATAAAAAAGGGGGAAACCCCTATTATTATGAAGTAGAACGTGTTGTCTATATTTATTTAAAGTAGCACATTTTGATGTGACGTCACATTTCTAACCCCTCCCCCTTCGTCACACATCGTCACAAATGTCTAACCCCCCCTCCCCAGGTGCATGACGTCATTTATGGACGGCCCCTTAGTTCTCAATCGGCTCTCCCGTGACTTAAGCCCCCCAAATCGGACCTGCACAGAACTAGGGTTGTTAAATGTGATTTTGCATAATCGGTCGCCAATTATCCGGACAAACCGGTTATCAGGGAACGATTATTGGTCACTATGCCAGGAGACTTTTCTCTTGCGCCACTGCGGTGCATCATAGTCATCAGCCATAGTCTATTTACTTCTGGATGAAGGCCTCCCCAAGCCGCTGCCACCTCTCATGATCCTGCGACGTAACAATCCACCCAGTAACCCCTCTCCATTTGAATCGCTCCATCTCCACCAGGGTGGCCGTTCCGTATCTCGAACGCGATCCGATCCTCCACCGCCGCTCCGTCGTTCGTTTCGCCCGCCAGCCATCGTCGTCCCTAGTGGCCGTGACGAGTGCTGCTGCCCGGGCCCCGCTCGCGTCTCCCAGCGGGTGGGGGTGGATGATCGTGACACTGCCCTGCTGCGTGAGTCCTCCCGTCCACGTGAGTCCCCCCGTCCACGTGAGTCCCCCCGTCCACGTGAGTCCCCTCGTCCACGTGAGTCCCCTCGTCCACGTGAGTCCCCCCGTCCACGTGAGTCCCCCCGTCCACGTGAGTCCCCTCGTCCACGTGAGTCCCCTCGTCCACGTGAGTCCCCCCGTCCACGTGAGTCCCCCCGTCCACGTGAGTCCCCCCGTCCACGTGAGTCCTCCCGTCCATGTGAGTTCTCCCTCCGCTTCCCGTCGCTTGAGCTCTGCTCACAAACCGCGTGGTGCGCTCCTCAACTGCGCCGCCTAGCGACGCCATAGGCACACGGACACGCTCACAGAGAGACAAACACTCCCTGTGTCTTGGCTTAAAGCTTTCGTGACTGCAGGAATTTATATTCCTGGGTCTTTCGGTGTCGCCTTCACACATCCGTTGAGGCAAGTGTCGTGAGCGAGCACGCACACAATACACACCACCACGCCGTCCGTCTTTGTCTCCCCAGCGCTGATATTTACCCACCCCACCGGGTGTGACCGACAGACGCATAAGGCGACTGGTAGACACACACACACAAGCGCACACAAATACATATTACGGAAACAAAGATACACACATAGACACAAAGACAAGAGACAAACACACCACACGTATACAGACACAGAGACACAAAGAAACTGACAGACACACACCGACACAAAGATACACAAAGCATAGTACACAGTGAGACGCACACTCATTCATTAATGTGCATGTAGGGGCAGACCCGAAGAACCCAGAGGTCACGCGCAGCACTCAGAGCTCCACACAGATATATTTAACATTCATTGCTGCACCGCCACAATCTCTGGCCATCTCACAGCACAAGCCTAAAACACCTGGTATTTCCATACAGCCTCCCATCCAAGCTGAGCTGCCCAGATCAGACGAGACTGGGCGCATTTGGGGCGAATGACAACTTCCCTGACTTGAACAAACCACACAATGCACCGGTCAGGTTGCAAGCCAGTGGGATAACACCGCAAATAAGCAGACAACTCGCGTCGTCCTTTCCACAGCTGTCCCTCTACAAACATGTATAATGGTATGTTTTACACATCCCATTAGCACCACGGCCTTCCTTCTGGGAGTGCATTACCCCCAGCAGCATTGCGTCAACACAAGGCAGTTGGTCATCGCCTTTATAAACATCTGGGAGGGCCCCATCATTGGTTCAACTCCGATTAACAAAAAATGTTCACATCCAAACGGAAAGCCGTGCGGTCGATGAGATGTGTAAATCATAATTTCGTGCATAATAAAGGGTTTTTTGGGTTATATCGCGTAAATATATGTCGGTAAAACCCACCACCACCCGACACAGCCAACTAGTAAGGGTTGTCACGTAAACAGAACGTGCCAATTCGTCACTAGTGTAGTGGCCTTATTGATGTCAGAGACTGTTCATTTGAGGCAACACGTATTTATTACAGACGCTTCAATTACAGTGGCGAATCTGATAATTGAAGAGGTAACGGCCTCTTCACCCGTACTCTATAGAGGGAACGTTTCCCGAGCTTTAGCCCACGCTAGCTCCCTGGTTCCCTCTATCCTGGTCCTCTCTCAGGAGGCTATCTGACCTGGCCCAGCTTCGGCGTAGGTCCCGATCACCAGCCACACGAGTCCGGCCCTCAGAAGGACATCGGGCCTCGCGGCTCTGGTGTCGCACCCTGGTTTGCTTTGCCCGGCCCTCAAAAGGACAACGAGCCAAAGGAGTTCCAGGGTCTAGCTAGTCGCTCTTCTTTCTTCACTGGCTCTTCATCTTGCTTGCGTCGAACTGCCTCTCAGCTCCCCGGGTCCCACCTTTTATACTGTCCCTCACTGAGGGGCGGGGCTGGGAGGGATCACCGCATCCCCCACAGACCCCAGGGTGGTGGCCGTGGCGGACGTGTTTGTGGCCACCGTTACACAACCACGTGTCACCCTCCCGTAACACCTCTACACTAGTACAGCACTAACCGGTGTGTTGGAGAGCCAAGCCACAACATTTAGAATCTGAGTACGACGTTTCGCCAATAATTACAACTTGCTTCATCAGGCAACAGCCAGATTTGTAAGTCCACCTGTTTCGTTCCTTAGAGGCGTAGATGTGGTGACCACGCTTCTGCGCTCTTGCGCCACGTGGGGGGGGGGGGGGGGGATTACTGAGGCAACGTACATGATGCATGTGCATTATGCGAGCCCTTTGAACTTGTCCTTCCTGTCCATTGTGTTTGTTAAAATAGCCCTACCAACGGTAATCCCTATTGAAGTACGCTGCCCTTTGTAGGCATGCATTTAATTAATGTCTTATTTGATGATTCGCTTCCAAGCTGCACTAAGGCCGAAATTCTAACTTTTATTCGCCCCCACAGATGTCCTCTTCTGCCCCCCTCATGTGTGCAGATACTATTATATAGGTTGTGTATGTATATGTAGTGGAGTAGAAGATACACATGGGTAAATTGGCCATACACAGTACATAAAAAACAATGTGGGTCATGTAAGGTCAGGCAGGTGATGAAGTCACGGGTGGCATAAGCAAGCCAAAGTAATTAAGGGAGTCAAGGGACGAGGGCTGTGATTGGTCGAGAGGCTGTTAGCGTTAAGTGGCAGCGTCACGGAGTCTGGGCCGTTGGACAGGTGCGGAGCTGGCGGGAAAATGCCAGCGAGGCACGTGGCAATTAATTAAGGCTGATTGGAAAGGGGATAAAAACGCTAGGTGATTTGGACGGCGAGGGGAGTTGTTAGCGAGAAGTGGAGACAGCAGCGGGTAGAGAGAGATGCGAAGAGGGGAGCCGGCAAGTGTTAGTGGGAAATAGATTGAGAGCCGAACCCAGAGGACAATAAATAGCGATAGCGAGAGTTAGCGTGAGCAGAGTGGAGATTACGGTATAGGTAGGTACAGGGAGAGTTAGCGATAGATAAGTCACTGTGTGTGAAGAGATAGACAAGTCACTGTGTGTGAAGAGATAGACAGAGTCACTGTGTGTGAAGAGATAGACAAGTCACTGTGTGTGAAGAGATAGACAAGTCACTGTGTGTGAAGAGATAGACAAGTCACTGTGTGTGAAGAGATAGACAAGTCACTGTGTGTGAAGAGATAGACAAGTCACTGTGTGTGAAGAGATAGACAAGTCACTGTGTGTGAAGAGATAGACAAGTCACTGTGTGTGAAGAGATAGACAAGTGACTGTGTGTGAAGAGATAGACAAGTCACTGTGTGTGAATAGACAGATAAGTCACTGTGTGTGAAGAGATAGACAAGTCACTGTGTGTGAAGAGATAGACAGAGTCACTGTGTGTGAAGAGATAGACAAGTCACTGTGTGTGAAGAGATAGACAAGTCACTGTGTGTGAAGAGATAGACAAGTCACTGTGTGTGAAGAGATAGACAAGCCACTTTGTGTGAAGAGATAGACGAGTCACTGTGTGTGAGGAGATAGACAGAGCCACTTTGTGTGAAGAGATAGACGAGTCACTGTGTGTGAAGAGATAGACAGAGTCACTGTGTGTGAAGAGATAGACAAGTCACTGTGTGTGAAGAGATAGACAAGTCACTGTGTGTGAAGAGATAGACAAGTCACTGTGTGTGAAGAGATAGACAAGTCACTGTGTGTGAAGAGATAGACAAGTGACTGTGTGTGAAGAGATAGACAAGTCACTGTGTGTGAATAGACAGATAAGTCACTGTGTGTGAAGAGATAGACAAGTCACTGTGTGTGAAGAGATAGACAGAGTCACTGTGTGTGAAGAGATAGACAAGTCACTGTGTGTGAAGAGATAGACAAGTCACTGTGTGTGAAGAGATAGACAAGTCACTGTGTGTGAAGAGATAGACAAGTCACTGTGTGTGAAGAGATAGACAAGTCACTGTGTGTGAAGAGATAGACAAGTGACTGTGTGTGAAGAGATAGACAAGTCACTGTGTGTGAATAGACAGATAAGTCACTGTGTGTGAAGAGATAGACAAGTCACTGTGTGTGAAGAGATAGACAGAGTCACTGTGTGTGAAGAGATAGACAAGTCACTGTGTGTGAAGAGATAGACAAGTCACTGTGTGTGAAGAGATAGACAAGTCACTGTGTGTGAAGAGATAGACAAGTCACTGTGTGTGAAGAGATAGACGAGCCACTTTGTGTGAAGAGATAGACGAGTCACTGTGTGTGAGGAGATAGACAGAGCCACTTTGTGTGAAGAGATAGACGAGTCACTGTGTGTGAAGAGATATAGAGAGAACCACTGTGTGTGCGGGGAGAGAAGAACAGACTGTGTGGAGAGACAAGGAGTATGAGCGGACGGTGCTGAGGGGAATTCGAGTGTTCGAGTTGGCGGAGCGCAGAGAGGAGAAATTATATATATATAGTGTGTGTGTGAAATTATATATAGTGTGTGTGTGTGAAATTATATATAGTGTGTGTGAAATTATATAGTGTGTGTGTGTGTGAAATTATATAGTGTGTGTGTGAAATTATATATAGTGTGTGTGTGAAATAATATATAGTGTGTGTGTGAAATTATATAGTGTGTGTTTGTGAAATTATATAGTGTGTGTGTGAAATTATATAGTGTGTGTGTGTGACATTATATAGAGTGTGTGTGTGAAATTATATAGTGTGTGTGTGAAATTATATAGTGTGTGTGTGAAATTATATAGTGTGTGTGTGTGAAATTATATAGTGTGTGTGTGTGAAATTATATAGTGTGTGTGTGTGAAATTATATAGTGTGTGTGTGTGAAATTATATAGTGTGTGTGTGTGAAATTATATAGTGTGTGTGTGAAATTATATAGTGTGTGTGTGACATTATATAGAGTGTGTGTGTGAAATTATATAGTGTGTGTGTGAAATTATATAGTGTGTGTGTGAAATTATATAGTGTGTGTGTGTGAAATTATATAGTGTGTGTGTGTGAAATTATATAGTGTGTGTGTGTGAAATTATATAGTGTGTGTGTGTGAAATTATATAGTGTGTGTGTGTGAAATTATATAGTGTGTG